TTGAATTCATTTTCAGATTGTTCATTAAAATGTATAGAAATATAATTGATTTCTTTTTTTTTTTTTTTGTACTGGGAATCGAACTTAGGGCCTTATGCTTGCCAAGCAGGCGCTGTGCCACTGGGCTACCTCTCTGGGCCGATTTCTATTCATTTATTTGCTTATATATTTAGAGACAGTATCTACACTGCTCAGGCTGGCTTTGAATTTGCAATCCCCATCTCAGCCTCCTGATGCTGGAATTAAAGGCTTGCACAATGCCCAGCTACAGCTTATTTTTGTATACTAGTATTATATCTTGCAACCTTGCTGAGCTCATTTATTATGGATTCTTTAGGCATTTTTATATACAAAATACTTCCATCTATGAACATTCGTAGTTTGGGAGGGTTGGCGCGGGTTAGAATCCTGCAGGTCCCTGGTAGCAGTGTTCTTCCTGCAGGAGCAGAACGTCTGGCCAGCCTTGAGCACTGCCTACTGCATGTGTCTGGTGCAAGGGGGGCAAGAGGCCACCACCAGCTTGAGCAGGCACAGAAGCCACCTTTATTTCTTCTTTTTATCTTGCCTGTCTTAACTAGAGCTTTCAGAACACTGATGACTAGAAGTAGTGACAGTGGATACCCCTGTCTTAATCCTGACCTTCAGAGAAAAAGCATCTATTTTCTCACTACTAAGTATGATGTCAGCTACAGTTTTCACATAATGCACTTGAGCAAGCTGAGGAAGTTCTTTTACCTTAGCTAATGGCACTTTAGTATCCCAGAAGAACTCATCTTTACTGCACCTTCTGTCAAACTCCTACTGCTCCTATTATCTTAGCTGGCATCATTATTCACCTTAGTCTTAGGTTACATTCCCTAGGAGCAGAGCCTGAGAAAGGGATTTTATACAAATGGTTTATCAATGACCTGTGATGTGAGATGTGAGAAAAAAAAGGGAAAGTTACATAAAGATAGAGGTTCGGGAGATAGGATTTGCCTCTACTGGGAACTCTGGAATAGAAAAGGCACCACATTTGTCCCACCTTGAAGGAAGTGTGTTCTGATTACACAATTACTGATTGCATATCATCACTGATAATGCTACCCCTACTAGAATCCAAGTGTACTTCTTTGTAGAAGCAGACACCATATCACTGGCTGTGGTATTGTCCTTGGGAGGGCATACCTCCCAGGAATGTTCAAAAGTGATCTCTGCTGACACAGGCTAGCTCTCAGCAGAGGGAAGTATGATCTGATAATAGCTATGAGCTATTGGCAGGCTGTATCATGAGTACCAATAGTGTGGGGTACCACCCACTTCTAGCTCTGCTCAGACACATTTGCTCTGTGCATTAAGTTACTATCACCAAGGATGTTTCTCCAGTGTTCTTGTTTGTCACAATTTCTAGGAACACTTAAGAGGGGAACTGCCGCAATTAGTCCTTAAGCTATAAATCCTTACTGTCCTTCCTACCACCCGTTCTAGTTGTCATCTCACTTCTGCTTGTCTAGGTGACTTAACTGGTAGGTTGACTCACACTTTCGCCCCCGAGAGTTCAGAGCCTCTGGTGACCATGTCCTCATCAGGCCATAATTATTTATCTACCCATACACTTAAAACTGAGTATGAGTGGGGCAAGAGATCCCAGGGCTCACAGTAAGCATCCCTTTTCTCTTTGCTCCCACTGGGTAGCAACAGTCTTGCCTCCTCTCAATGAGGAGTCAGTTATCCCAGACACTACGGTAACTGCCTGCTAAGTCTCCTAGCATTAAGGGCCCAAAGTAATCAGATGGCAATCATATCATTGTTTCCCGATGTGCTCACTTTGGCAGCACACATGCTGAGTTTCCCAAGATTCTTTTGTTGTGCCAGTTAGAAGCACACTCCTTGGGGCTGGGGATTTAGCTCAGCGGCAAAGCACTTGCCTGGCAAGCGCAAGGTCGTGAGTTCGAATCCTGGTACCGGAAGAAAAGAGAAAAAAAAAAAAGAAAAAAAAAAAAAAAACAAGAAGCACACTCCTTCCAGAAACCAGGGTCTGCAGACCTATAAAACTTGAAGCTGCAGAGCAGGTGTGGTGGTGCACGCCTATAATCCCAACTCTTAGGAGGCTGAGGCAGGAGGACTGCTGCTAGTTTGAGGCCAGCCTAGGCTACATAGTAAGTTTAAGTCTAGCCTGAACTACATAGTGAGACCCTGTCTCAAAAATGCAAAAACCAAACTACCCTTTCAAAAAGCCATCTCACTGCTCTACCAGGCCATCTTCCTAATGGAAAACAATTTAGTAGGATCACTGGACTCCATGGTTCACCTGACATCATTATATTCCCCACTGGCAAATCTGATTTGCCATTGAGTGGATTTTCTGTTCCAAGGCATTGTTACATTGGACTCCATACCACTTGAGTCCTTGGATGGCAGTAGTGGCTAAGGTACAATAGACAGGACAAGCAAAGCAAAGTATGTTATAAGTCCTAGTTAGGATACATTTTTACCTTTGGTAAAATAGAAAAGAGTCAGTATAACCAAATCTCCATCAAGTGGCCAGTTGTCTTCCTTGAGTAGCACTGAACTGGGGATGCAGTGTTGGTGTCTGTTGCTGACAAATTGAAAAATCAGTTTATGGTAGCAGTGGCTATGATAACCTTGGGTGAGAGTGGAGTACATGCTAAAAAGCCAATGAATAGCTCCTATCTCTGCCACCGTGGTGATTCTGTTCATAAGCACACTGCAAGCACTGGGATAGCTGCTGTAGTCCCAAGCAAATAATCCTGTCCATTTGGTCATGTAGTGCTTTGCTGGTCAATACCTTAAGTACCTCTCACAGATCTATCAAAGTCCTTGTCAGCAAACCTTGTTACCTATATTCCTATGTTGCTCCAAGCCTCTGAGTTCATGTATGCTTTATCTCAGGTCACTTTTTCTCCCTAAAGGGATGACCAAGTATGTTACCTGAAGCCCTATATAGTGAGATTTCCCCTCATCATTTCAGGGACACTTCTGAGTGGGGTTATTGAGACGCTCAATTCCCTACCTGGCTTGTCTAATGTATCAAGCTAATCCACATATGAAGCACAGCTGGATTTTTTTCCCCTCCTCTGTCAAATGGCTAAAAGAATCCTCATGTGGTCATAGGTATCATCTAAGAAAAAAATAACAGGGGGCTGGGGATTTAGCTCAGCAGCACAGCACCTGCCTGGCAAGTGCAAGGTTGTGAGTTTGATTCCCAGTACCGGAAAAAAACAAAAAATAAATAAATAAATAAAACAAATAACATGACAAAGGCAGATGATATGATGGTGATAGTGGCTTGAGACCCTCCAATCTGATTTACTTGCTTGATTTGGTGGTGCATGCCTATAATCCCAGCACTCGGGAGGCTGAGGCAGGAGGATCGCTAAGAGTTCAAGGCCATCCTGGGATGCAAAGTGAGTTCAAGGCTTGCCCGAACTGCAGAGCAAGACCCTGTCTCAAGAAGACCTCCCCCCGTCTGACTTACTTGAGCCACTAAGTTTGCTTGGGCCGTGTCTTGAAGGTACCATTTGTGTTCTACAATAGATTGCTGATATATCCACTCAACCTTGACTTGGATGGTCTGACAAAAACCAGCTGGTTGTATATGCAACTGGTCACATAGCTTTTGTTGGGGCAGAGTCTGTACTGGTGCCTAACAGCATCAGTAGTAGTTCATGCCTGTAATCCAATACTTAGAAAGCTGAGGCATGAGGATCATGAGTTCAAGGCCAGCCTACGAAGCCCATCTCAAAACAAAACACATAAAACCACATCTGACAGAGCACTGCAACCAGGACTATGACTTGCTTAAGTCATAGCGTTATCTACCATGAACCATACGATTTTTGCAAAGGCTAGACAAGTAAAACTAAATGAGGATGTGATGGAGAACAACACCCCTGCATCCTTTAAGTCTTTAAGGGTAGAACTAATATCTGCCCTTTTCCCCATATGTAGTATTACTTTTTATTATTTTGGGAGAGGTAGGGGTGCAGTTTGAGAGCATATACTTGGCTTTTCTGCCAACTGTAAAACATATTCATTCTTAGCCAACATTTGGAAGCAGAGAAAATAAGTATAAAGTAGGTTTTAGACCCATGTAAGGCAGATGGAGGCCAGCATTCCATTTATTACCTGACTCTATTTTTCCCTAACAGCATTAAAGTGCAGCTGGGGTGTCAGGAAGGCAAGTGCTGCTGTGGCACTGTGGGTAGTTGGGTATTAGTGTCAATTCAGGTTCTGTATCTCCGCTTTCCAACTCTTCTGGGTATTCTTTCCTTAGTGTGTGGCTAACTAAATAAATGCCTGTCTTTCACCTGATAGTTTTGAGTCTAAGAATTATCATAAGCTTAGAAACTAGACAAAGAATTCTTTTCAATTAAACTACTGACATCAGCCTTAACAATTTTTGATCCCTCTTATTTATATTCTCACTGGCTGCCCAATTATTTTGCAATTAGCCATGTCTACTTTGCTTCTAAGCTTGCCACACCTTGCTTCTTAAGAGGTAAGCGTTGCCCTCTGGCATTTGCTAAGATCCCACTGCTCCTAGGAAAACCAGTTCTTAAACATCTTCCATCAGACTCAATCTGGAGACAGCCAGTTCTAAAGCTCTCAAAATTGCTGGTACCCCTTCATTGGTGACTTTCTTATTGCTTTTATTGAAAACAAAAACAAAAAACACCTCCTAGACCCTTCTGAGGAATATGGTCAACTGGTGGCCTTCTTTGTATGTCTACCATCTCCACTTCATTTATTTATTGGTTCCCCCCCTCCCCCGGTACCGGGAATCAAACTCATGACCTTGCGCTTGCCAGGCAGGCGCTGTGCTGCTGAGCTAAATCCCCAACCCCTCCACTTCATTTAATGTGGGCCATTGTTTTTCCCAAGTTCCCCCAAACCATCTCAACAGCATATTATAAAGGCCTCATAGGGCCATGAGAATATATTCCAGGGTCACAAGAAAATGTCCCTATTATCCAATTTCATATGAATTCACAAAGCCATCCATACAATCAAAAATTTATTATCTAACATAAAATTTTGGACCAAAGGGGCATTTCCTGTAAAGCTGAACAGTAGCATAAAATTTCATTAAACTTAAGTTTTTTTTTTTGTTTTTTGGTTTTGATGCTTGGAATTGAACCCAGAGTCTTTACACTGAGCTAAATCCCCAGCCTGTTTTGCAACTGCTTATTTTGAGGGTCATGCTAAGTCACTGAATTGCCCAGGCTGGGCTAGAACTTATGATTCTCCTGCCTCAGCCTCCCAGAGTGCTAGGATTTCATGTGTGCACTACCACACTCAACTTGCACTAGTTATTTTTTAAACTGAAGAAAAGACAGGCTAGAACATTACTAGAAGCTGCCTGTGGTGGTACATGCCTATAATCCTACCACTCGCCACAAGTGAGGCCAGCCTGGGCTACACAGTGAGTTCAGGCCCATCCTGAACCACATAGCAAGATCTTGTTGCAAAAACAGTAACAAAAAGTTGCTAGGAACGTTCTTAGTAACATATTATTGCTACAGAACAAACTCTCTAAGGCTGACCCTCACATGAGAGAACTACAAGTATACAAATGTGTCAGTTTGGCTAGGATCTATGGAGAGACTAAAGAGGCCCCAAAGCAGTATTACTCAAAGGTGGTTTGCAAACTTGTGCTCACCTTTGAACACTTTCATGTTGTTTGTTTTACTAATTTACCACATGAGGAATTAGAAATTCAGTGTGTTCAGAAACTGGCACTTGTGATATCCAAATACATGACTGGGGACTCAATCTGCTGAACAGGATCTGGACAGCTTGGCTGTCGTCACATTTGCATGTGAGCTGCACATTATCCATGAGCAGTAGGACCACATTCTGTACATGAAGGACTAGGTCTTTAAAAAACAAAAAAACCTGGTTCCTTGACACACATAGTTTGAGCAAGCCTGCCCTAGGATACCCAGCTCTATCCCTCCAGAAGTCCTAAAATAATTCAAGAATTGTTTTTTCACTTGTTTTTGTGGTATTGAGAAACGAACCCCCAGGGTCTTTGCACTAAATAGCGTGTTGAGGATAGAGAATCAACAGAGGTCAGTTTGCTCATGGTCAATCAAAGTAAAAATAAAAATGAATGTCTTGGAAACAAAGCTAAGTAGGGCATCTTTCAGATGCTTGGAGTAAGACCTGGTCAGGCCACCAGAAGTAAGAAGAGAAACAGGCACAAGGTTCAGAGGGCAAGGCCCTTTTGTTCTTCCGCCTCCTCTCTATTCCTGTCACTTTTTGGCTGGTACTTTCAGGAAGAGAATTTTGGCTTCCAGGCACCATAAACGCCATCACAAGTCTGCTTGTGCTTTTCCATCTCTCAGACAGTAGAGCAGTCTCACATTCAGACTTAGACTTTTCCATGCTCTGATAAGTTACAGTAGCTGGACTTTCCCCAACAGCCTGAGGCTCAGGAACGTTTCCTTCCTTTCCAATGCCATGGAGTATATGAGATCTTTAAGGAGTGAAAAGTTCTAACCCACAGTAAAGTGACATGTCAGGAGCTCACAGTGACTCAGATGATGAATGTCACTTTGTTCTGGCAAGAGTTATTTTCCGAGTAAGTGAGACAGCCAGCTGGGCTGATTAGAGGATCTACCACGACAGCCAAGGTCCACAGATAAACTCAGAACGTGAAGGTCAGCTCAAAGATAATTTAGAAAACATGTTAAAAGTATATTATTAATAATAGTGTAAGAAATTAAAATATAGTATCAGTTGAAGGGCTTTACAGGTTAAATTACCCAGGAGGAAATAAGGAAAGATAGCTAACTAGTCTCCTTTGCCAAATGAGCTATAGGCTGAGCTGAAGGATAAGAGTGGTAGAAGAGCCCAGCAATGTTATGGAGAATAAATCTTAACATTCCCACTTTGCAGCTTACAGAAGCTGAGGAAGACTGAGAAAAGACCTGGATGAAAAACTGGCCATACGCCTCACTCACAATATTTATTAAACACTGCCCCATAGGGCCTGCAGGAAAAGGGACCCTGTTTTAAAATTTAAAAAAAAAAAAAAAAGCCAAAAAAGGGATCCTGGCTGCTTCCCTCTGCCTTTCCCAAGCACCTTCCTGAACTAAGGATTCTACGGGAATCAGATGTATCTAGCTAAGACACACTGAGAGTAGAACAACTATTCATTTGCCAGACCTGACACTACAATTGTGTTTGCCAGGGAGGTGGGGAGCTGTGAGTGGTGGATGGACTACACGAGGGGAAATAAAATGGACTTCTTTGTCACTGCTTGGACTCAGAAGAATTGGAATAAATAAAAGACAGGAGATGAGAGGACAGGTGGGGGCAAAGGAAGGTCAGGGGCTGGGAGCAGGTAGATCACATGGTAGCGTAGAACCAGGGTAGTCACTTGAGTTCTCAAGCTAGAGCAAGGAGTTGAGGGAAGGCTCAGCACCTAGAGGGAAGAAAAACCCCAGGGCTTCTATTCCAACTCTACTATGATTAGATACAAAAGCCCTTTCCCTTCAGAGAATTCTGGTGGTCTGTGTGAAGGCAAGAGGGCATGGTGTCGGACCTACAGCCCTGCCCAGGCTAAGTTTCTCTCCATTCCCAAAGGCTCTGCCCAAGAAAAGTACAGAAAAAAATGTCCCAGGGCTCTGCCCCTGTTCCCTAGATCCAAGAGTGGGTGTAGAAACAAGGCACGAAGACCCTGGAATTAAAAAGGGTACATCAGTGTGACCATATATAACGTTATTTTGGGAGAGGCAAGAAAGTACATGCCCCAAAGGGATGCCTTCTTTCACCTGGCGGGAAGCTGGGCTTTTGCTACTAGCAGAAACCACAATGGAAAGAGGTTCATACAAATGGCCTGCAGAACAGATCCTATTCGTAGAAAGACAGAAGAAAAGCCTCAGCTTATATGGCACAGTCTTGAATGGGATGACAGAGGACAGTAGGCAGACCACTCCTGCAGGCGATATTCCCGCCTCAGTGCACCAACAGTTCTGCAGACTCCAGATGTTCCCCATGGATGGGACTCAGGGAGGAAAACGTGTTGTACATTTCACATGATCAGACACTGTTCACCACTGGCACCCGGTGGGCCCGACAGATTGAGGGCATCCAGGTCAAAGTTGAGGCCAGGAGGCTGGAGAAGAGATGAAGGGACTCAGATGACTGTACATACTTCAGGTCAGAGCTTATGAACATCCATCCCTAGCAGCAATAATTATCACCTGATGTGGAATCACTGGAAGTTGCAGAATTCTGGAAACTAGGGGTTCAGATTAAAATCCGGAAGACATACTCACCATCTCCCCGGCCAGCTCTTTTGGAGGATGGCCCAAATCCTGTAGCTGGAAAAGAAGTAAAATGAGGTAGAAAAAAAAAAGTCAGAAAACAACACAAGAGGCCAGGAAAAAAATCTGATTAGTGATCTCTGACTTCTGACCATGCAACATGGCCTCTCTTGTGCTCCCTCCTCCACCCTGACAGCTTGGCAGTATAGCATACTTCTAGATACCTCTTCTGTGCAGTACCCGAGTGGGCGGCATCAGTGGGCAGACAGCAAGAAGCCTCACCTGCTGCATAAGATCTAGCACCATCTCAAAACGAGCCTTTTGAGCAGCCTCGCTATCTGTGGGTGTCTCTGCTTCAAACTGCTCACATATTTTGCCCATGACATTGTGTTGCTCCTGATATTTTTCAAATTGCTCTGGAGGTAGAGATTCTCGGTGACTCTGTAACCATTCTGGATACTAAGGAAAGAGACAATGGGTCAGTAAGAATTAAGGGAACACTGGTAGGGAAGGGAAATGAGAACAACCCTAATGTGATGGGAAGGGTGTCATGGCAGAAAGAAAAGCTAAATAATCAAGTCCACCATTAAAAGTAGATTATCTGTTTCTATTTCCATTTATGGTCACTACAGACTGGCAATTTTTATAGAGTACCAGGTAATAAGTATTTCAGGCTTTGAGGGTGATTTGTGGTCTCTGTTATATATTCTTCTCTATTGTTATCACTGGTTTAATAATAAGCCTTTAAAAATTTACAAACCAGCCAGCCATAGTAGTACATGTCTGTTATCCCATCATTATGGGAGGCAGAGGCAGGAGGGTTGCAAATTTCAGCCTTGCCTGGGCAACTCAGTGATTTAGTGAGATCCTGTCTCAAAACAAAAGGAACCAGGATATTGTTTGGTGCAAAGGCCCTGGGTTAAATCCTTAGTACTTGGGGGGCGGGGGAGTAAAAACCATTCTTAGCTTGAGAGGTGAACATAGGCCATACAAACCTTGGTCTGCTGACTTCTGGTCTGCACTATGCATTCCATTCATAGCCAATGTTGCCCTGTAGCACTACGACACTTCTTGTCCTCTATTTTATCTCTCTAATAAAACTTTAAATTCTTTGATAGCAGAGACTATCATTTAAACTACTCTTAAACTGTATATAACATAATGCCCCAGTTAGCCAGGCGTGGTGGCACATGCCTGTAATTCTAACACTTGGGAGGCTGAGGCAGGAGGATCTTTGCAAGTTCGAGGCCAGCCTGGGCTACAAAGTGAGCTCAAGGTCAGCCTGAACTGCATAATGAGACCCTGTCTCAAAAAGACAAAACAAACAAACAAACAAACAAAACCATAATGCCCCAGTAAATCCTCAGTGGATCCTTGTTGGAGCAATGAATGAAATCAGAAATACAAGGGGTTGATCAGACAACCCAAATCTTGAGCCAGAACACTAGTGCTGAAGGATTTCCTCTTCTACCTCAGCATTTTCTAGGTAGTAGCTTTATTTTCTCAGAGACACAAACCACCCCCCCTCTTTTTGTACACTCAAGTTACTCTCTACAGGCTCTGAGCAAAGTAGCCCATACAATCATATGAGGACCATAAAGAGAAGCAGAGGGCCAGGGATATCGATTAGGGGGATGGCACCTGCCTGGCAATCAAGAGGTCCTGAGTTTGATTCCCAATTCCCCCCACACCCCCAAAAAGAGAGAGAAGCAGAAATGGAAACCCACAAACCTTTTCTGTGATCTCCTTCAGTGATGGGTACAGCACATCCTTGGACAGGAGGTTCTGCATGATACTCTGCATGATGGGGAGGATGTTCCCTTCTCCATCCCCTTCATCCATGCCCAGCCCTTCCATGGCCTTGTTCAGTTCCTCATCTGACATGCCTGAGTTCTACGCAGGACAAGGGGGAGATGAACAGGTGCACTACCTTCCCGGAAAGCTTACAACCCTTTCACAGGTAGGAAAGAAGTATCTAAACATGCCTATAACAAACTAATGAGGCAGGGACAGACTAAGGAAGATTCCCAAGAGCATCTGTCTTTTGACACTGCTGGTGAAGGGTCCTGAAATGGGTCCCTTATGTTCTCCTATCCCTTCCCCCTTACCTGAAGGTCAGTGGCATTTTTGGCTAGTCCACTTAATGTCTCCTTTAGGCAAGTAGTGAATTCTTGCTGGGAGGTTGCATCACTGCCTAGAGGAGAATAAAACAATTAGGATCACTTAGCGTTTTAACAGTTTGCCTACATAGAAAATCCCGGTTATCAGCTGGGATATGAAACAACTACTAAATCACTATCACTTCAAAACTTTGATTATTCTACTGTGACTTTCATAGTCATTTCACAGATCCATACAGCCTGTATGTCAGTTTACTCTTAACAACGACACCCACAATAACTCTGTCCTTTAAAAGGGTCAGTTTGGGGCCATCCTTCCATTACTTTCCAATTTATCTCACCCCTTTCATGGGGAAAGGTTCCTATACCTTCCTTCTCCCACTGCCTCACCCCACCCCATGTCTGTGACATCATAAGTGCTCTACTGAGAATCCTGGTATCAAATATTTTCCTTTGACTGCAGTCTCCTCACCCACTCTCCCGGCAGCCTCTGAGAGCTTTTGGAACTGCTCCACCAGGTGGGGCTCTTCCTCAGCCAACTCCTTCATTGCCTTCTCAAACTCTGCAGTAGCTTGGGAAGCCAGCTCACTGTCGAATAGTTCCTGGAAAAACTTCTCTTGGGAGGCGAACAAGGCATCCTGCAGGGGAGTCATGGGCAAAATGCAATTCTTATGGCACTGTACTGTTCCTGGCTTCTGACGGAAGCCTAGGTTATAAATTCTGGGATAGGCAGCACCTCCCTCCTACTCATCTCTATTGGACCAAACCATCTACAACACCCCAACTCAACGGCAAGAAAGGCATTTGACTACTAAGGAAAGGCTGTAAGCTGGCATTATCAATTCAGCCCTTTAAACCTTCTCTTTTTTCAAGGAACTTCTCTGAGATCCCTCTACTCAACCTCAAGTCCTTACTTTACAAGGACTGAGACCCGTAAGAACTCTCAGCAATGTGAGGCCAAGGCACCCTCCCAACCGCCCCACTGGCCCATAGGGGCCTGCCCCACCTCTCTTCAGAACTATATGCCCATCCCCTCCCTCTCCCTTGAGGAGGTGGTATTTATACTTTGGCAGTGTCTCCTGGCGATCTCTTCTGGGGCCCTGAAGCATCGAGGGCCGTGGTGGTAGGAGGGGGTGCTGGGGAAGGTTTGGCTTTATCGAAATCATCAAGAGCACCTTCAGAGACAAGAGACACGGTGTGTGTGTTGGGGATGGATGAGGATGCAAAGCTGGGTGGTTTCTGGGTAAAGCATCAGAATGACCTTTTATTTTTTTATTTTTATTTATTTTTGTTTTTTTTCCGGTACCGGGAATTGAACTCATGACCTCGTGCTTGCCAGGCAGGCGCTGTGCCACTAAGCTAAATCCCCAACCCCTAGAATGACCTTTTAAAGTGCCAACTTTTTTCTTTTGGAGTCTCTATTTCTCCTAACTCACTGATCTATAAGCTTCCCATCTCCTTTAGGATTACCTAAACTTTGAGATCAAAAAGAAATCCCTCTTGCCGGGCGTGGTGGTGCACACCTGTAATCCCTGCACTTGGGAGGCTGAGGCGGGAGGATCGTTGAGAGTTCGAGACCAGCCTGGGCTATAAAGTGAGCTCAAGGCCAGCCTGAACTGCAGAACGAGACGCTGTCTCAAAAAGACAAAAAAAAAGAAAAAAGAAATCCCTCTTAAGGTGCAACAAGTCTCCATCTAAGAGTTGGGAGGAGAGGATTGAGAAAGGTACTGCAGAGATTGCCGTCTACACACTATAATAAATCTCCCGAGATCTCATATAAATATCTAATAGGAGCAGAGGTCATAGATGTCCTTATCTCCCTGAACTCCCATTAGATCCTTAAAGGGATTAATCTTTGGCAAAAAAAGCACGAGATATCCCACCCAGCTTTCCATTAATCTTGGTACTAGCGCAAACTAAGGGACTCCATACTACACTCCATGGCAGGACATTACACTCTCTTGTATTATCCTACAAAGTAATTCTCCCTTATCAAAGTCCTAGAGCACCCTCTGGCCTCATCCCTGCAGATAACCCTGTGCCAGTTCAGTCACTTGGCACTCCTGTTTCTATTCACTTTCCTTCAGGCCCTCATGTAGGTGACTGAGCAAGAGATTAAAAAAAAAAAAAAAAAAAATCACCTCTGTCCTGCAAAGCCTGTGTTGTCACCAACACTCTGCTTGCCAGGCCTAGGCAAAGGGCACTGGCCCCACTCTGGGCAGGAAACCAACAGAAGAGTGGAGGACAAAGCTAAGAAATAAAAGAACATCCACCGGCTTTCAAGAAGATGAAATGAATTCCCGGGAGCTCTTCATCGTCAGTTTCTCAAAGTACACTAATGAAAAGGAGTCTGCTTTTGCTATTGACGTGATGAAAGAACTGTAAGGGTCTCGAAAAGGAAACGACTGAGGGAAGAGCCTTTTGTGCTAAGGCAGGAAAGACATAGCAGAGTTAATGTAAGTACCCGGGAGCGTCCGCGGCGCTGCCCACCGAGAACTAAATACTGAAACCGGCCTCAGGGGAGGTAGACTTTGAGAATTTAGTAATTGAAGGGGAGTTAGAGGAGAACCGTCAAACAGCACCATACGGTTACCACTCTTCCCCTCCCGCAGGAAGATTAGCAGTCTGAGCAGCTGAGACACCAAGGTGAAGCCCCCAGCTTCCGCGGCGGCGAAGGCACAGGGTGACCCCAAGATTTTCTACGGAGTGGCAGTCAGACCTTCGCCCCTGCCAACCACTGGGGAGACTCTCCTGCTCCGCCCCAAATATCTCAGGCTCACTTAACCCCCCGGAATAGGTCCTCACACCCGCCCACTTCGGGCTTTGCCAGTCACGGGCTCTTACTTTCCAGAAGCTCCTCCAATTCCCGGTCCGCTTCGGCAGCAACACCACTCTCTTGCTCAGAGGTGGCCATCTTGCTGCCTCCGACTTGCCGTAGGAGGCGGGACTCATCTCTCCGCCGGCTGCCCCGCCCCCTGGCCCACGCCCCCTGCTTCGTGCAGCCAATGGAATCCTTGGTTCGTGGGGCACCGCCATTTTTAAAGGGACAGTAAACTATGAGGCTTTGGGGTTTTTTTTTCCCTTTGCAAAGAACCATTGAAATGGGCAAGTTACTGTTATCGTCTGCCTGGTTTATTATTGGCTTGGAGTATTTGCTCAACTTCTCACATTAGCTGGAGAAGCTCTTCCATTATGTATTCCTGAGCTTTGGATAGGCCAGATTAGAACAAACTGCCTGAAAAGACCAGAATCTATGCATTCATAACCGAGAAGGTAATTATGGTGCATGCAATTATTTCCCTCCCCACTTCCTTCAATATTTCACTCAGGAGCCGGGCGTGGTGGCGCATCCCAGCATTAGGGAGGCTGAGGCAGGAGGATCATTGCGAGCTCGAGGCCAGCCTGGGTTACAAAGTGAGTTCAAGGCCAGCCTGAACTACGTAGTGAGACCTATGCAGTCTTTTGTCCAGGCGTGGTGACGCACGCCTGTAATCCCAGCACTTGGGAAGATGAGGCCTATACCCCTTTTGTCTTTTTGTCTCAAAAAGACCAAAAAAAATAAAATAAAATAAAATAAAATTTCACTCAGATGTCTTCTCTGAAATGTTTACTTTGCTCTCATTAAATAAAATTACAACCCCTGCCTCTTTCCCCACTCTATCCCCCTTCTTTCTCTTTTTAACACCGAACACTGACCAACTATATACCTATTTCTCTTATTCATTGTCTGCCTCTCCCAATCTCCACAGAATTTAAGGGCCATAAAGGTGAGGATTTCCACTGTTGTCTTCATTGCTGTATTCCCATCTCCTAGGTAGGACTTAAAATTTAGTAGGCAGCTACACTCCCAGACCCCACATTTCTTTGCCTAATCTAAGTGGATATCATTTACTATTCCCCATGAGAACTGTCAGGCTAAAGGACTCAAGGTCTGCAACTTAGAATTCAGTATTAGACAGAAAAGGTGACTCTAGAACCCTAAACTGAGCAAAGGGAAATTTGAATATAGTAGTAGCCAACCTGCCTTTCCTGATTTATCTTTTCACATACAACCCAACCAACACTGGAGTGAGGATGGGGAAGGCTCAGGCAATGACAGCTCTGACATTTCCTCCTTTGGAACTGTTTTATTCAGATATGTTAGGATGTAACAACTTAAATAGACAAATCTATTTTAGCTCTTAGAGAATAAGAGCTCTTCTGTTGTTTAAGATTTTGTACGGGGCACAGGGGATCAGGACCAGACCCCTGGTGTAACTAGCTGACTTGAGATCAGCTAGAAGGAGATTAGAATCACACACAAAAAGTAGAAGGTAAGAGACCTAAAAGAGGCAAACATAACATGCTCTAGAATTTTTTTTTTCTTTTTTGAGACAGGGTCTCACTATGCAGTTCTATCCAGCCTTGAGCTCACTATGTAGCCCAGGCTGGCCTCAAACTCGCAATGATCCTTCTGTCTCAGCCTCCCGAGTGCTGGGATTACAGGCATGCGCCACCATACCTGGCTTATTCTAGAATTTAAAATGAGACAAATCTCATCAATTTTTTCTTAATTAATTTTATTGCTATTGATTTATTAGTTTACTTTTTTTTTTTTTTTTTAGATAAGGTCTCGATATGTACTTCAGCCTGGACTTAAACTCACTTTGTAGCTCAGGCTGGCCTCAAGCTCACAGCGATCCCCCTGCCTCAGCCTCCCAAGTGCTGGGGTTACAGGTGCATACTACCATGCCCAACTTGGTACACTTTTGATATATATAATGATTACATTCATCATAGGAAATTTGTACCTGTAAATAATATATTTTGATTCTTTTTTTTTTTTTTTGCCATTCCCCTCCCCTCCCTTCAACCCTTCTTCCATTCTGTATATACAAAATCTTTGTTTACAATTTTTCTTTATATTCTTTTTTTCCCTTTTCCTTTCTTCCTCTTCTTCCTCTCCCCTCCTTTGCTGTCCTTCCCATTTTAACATTTCCTTCCCACTTACCAATTTCTGTCATCCATTTTGGTCCTTATTTACCCTTTCAGTTTCTCACACAAGAGAAACACTGAGACATTTAAACATGTGTCTAATTTATTTCACTTAAGAGTATGGTCTCAAGGGGCCGTTTACCTAGAAATGTCTCAAGCTTATCCTTCTTTATGGCAGAGTAGTACTCCATTGCATGTAAAAACCACATCTTTTTAAGCCATTAATTCACTGATGGGCATTTGGGCTGTTTCCAAGATTTAGCTATTACAAATTGTACTGCTATAATAAACATGGGCGTGCACATAAAGAGATCCCATCTAAACAGAAAGTTATTTTGAGACAAGGTCTCACTCTGTAGTTCAGGCTGGCCTTGAACTCATTGTGGTTATCCTGCCTCAACCTGCTTCATCACTTATCGGCTTAATAATCCATTTCTGTCCAGGGTGAACAAGTCCTGAGAACGAGGTACCCGCGGATGAATAGAAAAGTAAGAGAAACAAGAAAAAGAAGAGAGGCATAATTCTGGGATCTGGGGGCTTACAGCCTCTTGGACTGCAGCCCTGAAAACCATTTTCAGTGATTCAGTAATCTTTTATTGAGAAAGAACAAAGGAGGTAGCAGAGGAATGGGAGGATATCAACTGTTTTAGCAAGGACAGTACAACTCAATTATCATAAGAATGAGACTTGACTAGTTCACCATCATGTTATCATTCCTTCGGGCATACCTCAGCAAAGCATCTAGTGTTGTCCCCGGGGCTTTCAATGCTTTTGCTAGACTTCCTCTAGAACCCACCAATCAAGGCTTGGTCAGAGCTGAAGCAATACACTGAAAGAGTAACTAAAAAATGTCCTTCTCCACAATCACTTTTACTTTTACTCTCCTAAACATACATTTGAGTACTGCACCAAGGATCGGATTTGGGTACAGACTTTTAAAACCATACCTGTAAAAAACCATTTTTTCTCACAAACACAAGTAGTGTATTTCTGGAGGGTGTTCTGAACTGAGAGTCATAAAACTAATTTCCAAAACCCAGCACAGTGGCGCATGCCTGTAATCTCAGTAACTCCTGCACTTGGGAGGCTGAGGCAGAAGGATCACTGTGAGTTTGAGGCCAGCCTGAACTGCAATAGAGACCCTGTCTCAAAAACAAAACTAAACACCCCCAAAATAGTCTTTTTCAATCTAAACTTCTATAATCAAATCCTTTCCTGGGTATCCTCTCCCTCCACAACATTTTTAACAATTCATTCCAAACTTTTTCATTCAACTCTAAACTACTTACATGTCTATCTCTAATAGAAGTGTTAAAAAAATATAAAACTTACCTTTCTGCTTTGTACTAATGTAGTAATACAAGCGTGGTAATAAGAAAAATACTAGAAAATAATTAAGATGGACTCAAAAATAAAAATGGGGGCCAAGGCTATAGCTCAGTGACATAAGTGCCTGCCTGGCAAGCAAAGGTCCTGAGTTTGATTCCTAGTACCAAAAATAAAATTTAAAAAAAATAGTTCTTTTTTAGCCTTTTTTTTAAAATTGAGACAGAGTCTCAAAGGCTGGTCTTGACTCACTGTGTAGCTCAGGCTGGCTCTGAACTTGCAATCCCCCTGCTTCAGCCTCCTGAGTGCTGGGATTATAGACACATATTACCATACCTGGCTCCTTTGCATTATTAAACTTGATTCTGCTTTTCAGTTTTTACTAATGATATTTTTTTTGAGACAGGGTCTTGCTGTGTAGAGGCTAACCTCAAACTCACGGCAACGGCAATCCTTCTACTCAGTCTCCCTAATGGTGGGACTGTAGATGTGCGCCACACTGATATTCTTAATATGTCAGTATTTATTCATGTCCTGACTGCTCAGTCTTCATAGTAAATACTACTACAAAAATATTTTACAGCATTTTTTCATGTTACTCTCTCAAGGAGCTAATGGCTCTCTTTTTTTTTGAGACAGGGTCTCCTTAGATAAGGCTGGCATTGAACTACGTAGCACAAGGTGGCCTCCAACTCACAGCGATCCTCCTGCCTCAGCCTCCTGAGTGCTGGGATTACAGGCATGTGCCATGATGCCTAGCTCCACTATTTACTGACCGATGTCAGATTCTTGTCTTATATTCACAATATGTATTTCACCTATAGTCATTGTTTCCCCAATTACATAACTTGTGACTGTTAACTTTTTTTCACATGCCTGTGTTTATGCTTGTGTGCAAATTTTGTAATTTATAAATCTAAGAGTTTTATGTTTGGTAAAATTTGTCACCAATTTGCCTGTACTTACAGAATGTTCACAACCTGAGAAAATGCTATCAAAGTAGTATGTAACATTTTGAGAAGGCAGATTTAATTTGAGGATGGTGTTTAATAAGAGACCGCAGGAAATGGAGGCAGAGCTTTTGCAGATGGGAAGGGCATCTAAGGATAGAGGGAGCAGGGAGGGACAGGAAGGAAAACAGAAAGGACCAACGTGCAGCGTGTATGTCCTCCTCACGATGGATGTATTCATCATGTATCACGATCACGTATTTTAAAAATCAATTTTTTAAAGTTGCATTTCATGGGTACACTTTAGATATACATAATGGTCACATTCATCACACAGAATTTGTACCACTGGACGATATAACTGTTTTCTCCATTCCCTACCCTCCCTTCGACCCCTCCTGCCCTCCCCATTTACAAAGCTTTGTTTCCGTTTTCCTTCCTCATTTTTTTTTTCACTTTTCCATTCTTTCCTCTCCCCCTCTTTTGTTCCCCTCCCCATTTGAACATTTTCTTCCTATTCCACAATACCTATTATACATTTTGGTCCTTATTTACACTTTTGGTTTCTCATACCAGAGAAACAATGCAGTATTCATGTGCATCTGATTTATTTGACTTAAGAGTATGGATTTGAAGCCAGGCGTGGTGGTGTACACCTATAATTCCAGCACTCAGGAAGCTGAGGCAGGAGGATCGTTGTGAGTTCGAGGCCAGCCTGGGCTACAAAGTGAGCTCAAGGCCAGCCTGAACTGCATAGTGAGATCCTGTCTCAAAAAGAAAAAGACAAAAAAAAAAAAAATGTGCACCTTTTCAATGGTACTTGTAAATCAAAGGCACAGTACATTGTTCTACCCAGTTATTCTTACCACACAAGCAAAATACTGTTTTGCTAATCATTGTAAAATATATAATATACTAATTAATCTACACATACTACATGTAAAATAAGTAGAACAGGAAGAGGTATATGGTAGATGATCAATGAATACTGGTGATAATTAGCAGCAGATGGAAGGTGGCGGCCAAAAGCGAATAGGAGAGCTACTGACTTGCTTTCTACCCC